ACTAGGTCTGAGATTCCTGCACACTGGGAGCAAAAACTTGCAACATTCCTGCCAGTGCGGGAGCTTCAAAGTGGCCTGTCTGATTTTATCCAGCCCTCTTGAAAAAGGAAAAAAATCCAGAACAGAGTCAAGTTCTACCAAATCCTGTGAAAGAATCATTCTATGCAAAACAAAGAAGAATCAGACTGACAAACCGTAACAATATAAAGAACTTTTATTTTTCTTTTTTCTTCTTTGTTTTTCTTCTTTTGCTGTGTAAAGTTTCGTTATTACGCTCACAGCTTTGTACCAAAATGAAAGAAGAAAACCAAGGTCAATCTGTGCACATGTTCTACACAGCTTAAATTATTAAATATTCAATCATGTTGTTTTATTCCACTTCCATTCTTCAAAAAGACTGTTTAACACTTACAGCAAAATGAAATTTGAGAAGCTGGCAGGCGCATATAACAGAGTATATACCTACACAGTTTGCTCTTTACTTTCACTATTAAATATTTTACAAACAGTAGCTGAAACCGTTTCCTTATCCTTCCTCACATATCCTGCAACTCTGGACAACTTAGACTTTGAATGATAGTACCATACAAGCCGGAAAACCAAGATTCATCCGTACCTGTGTTTTAATTCAAAAGAAGGGAAAAATATTTTCTCAACACCACATTTTTGTTTCTGGGAACCTACAGTTTATCTCAAGTTTTCAGTTATCGTTTACCTTGATCCAGCATTAGTGTACAGTTTGAAAGCGTGCATTAAGAACTGCACTACTTCAAACATACTGCGCAGCTAAACTCCTACTATTTTGCAGAAGTCAGCTCATGTGCTGATAATATGTTTAAAGTCTGCAACCCACACGTAAGTGACGCAAGGCAAGCAGAAGCTGGGATATTTAATGCATCTTTGTACCAACAGATGCAGCAGTTTTCCCACATACAGAAGCAGCAGCGTTAGGCCGTAAAGTATTTTGCACTGTCAGTTAACTTATTTTTCCCTGTGATTTGGAGGAAAAAGGAGGAAAAACAAATATAGACCAATCCTAGCATTGCCTTGTCATTCAATACATGTGAGGCTATCAGGGCTGGGGAAGCTTTGCAGCACATGTGAACTTTAAGTGATCATTTTATGCTACTCGCGCCCTCCTTTTGGAGATCGGGCAGGGCTTGGTATGTCTACGGCGCAACAAGTTCTCATGGTTTTGAAAATAATTATATAAGCGGTTTCAGTAGCGCCTGGCCCATTCTTTATATCATAAAAGACCATAATACCGCTGAGCACTTTCTGTCCATTGAGGAGTCTCATAGCTTAATAAGCCCAATGTCAGTTCTGCTAAGAGGAAAATGGTGGCTTGCCCCCGAAAGGGCCTGCCATATTTAGTCAGCCATATAGCAAGTTATTATTTAACATTTGAATAATAAAATAAACACAGCTAACCACAAAATAAACCCTCACTCTACTCACTCTTCCACCCACAACTTTTTACTTGCATAAAAAACAAACTGAAAACAAAAATAGTCCTGAAACAGGCTTCAGACGTGCAGTACTGCTTTTCATGCAAATATTACTCTGTTAAATTTCACAAATAGTCCACCTTCCCAAAGTTACTACACTTTTCGACCAGAGGTGTATCAGGAGTCAAAACCCTAAGCTGCAAGACCGGAGAGGATTTCATTAATGGCTACCAAGCCAATACATTAGTTTACCACCTCTCTTCTGCAATTGCCTCCAGAAGAACTCCAGAGAAGCCTGGGGATTTCCACAGCTGCACAACAACTTCATAGCAAATCCTTCTAAGATATTCTCAGGACAAAGCAGCACAGCATTTTCCTCTGAACCCCGAGCAATTTTTAAAATTGTTTTTAATTTATGAAGCAAAATTTTAAAAACACTCGTGCAGCTCTGCTATTTTTCTGCCTCTTATCCATTTTAAGATTCTTACAATACATCTGAAATGACCTACAAAGTAGCAAAAGACACCACTGCTAAAGCTAAAGCTGGATTTCAGAAGTCCAGACTTTTCAGGAGGACTATTTTCAAGGACAGATAAGGAAATGTCATGGACTACAAGAAAAAGAAGTCTGCTTCCACCAACTAGAAAAGATAAACCCAACAAGCAATCAGGAATGCAAATAAAGTGTAATAACTGTGTTTGTTGCAACACCTAGCGAGAAAGATCTTTACACGTTCCTGAAAACAGCTGAAAGAACATGAAGAATCACAAAGAGGAAGAAGTAACATAATCTACTCTCACACACCATTTTTCAGAATGCTACAATCACTCCACATGCTTGTCCTCAGGACACACACCTCCAGAGCTTCACTTCAAGCACAGTCCATGAAGGACAGCTTGAGCTGTTCACATTGTTTATGCCACACTTTTACATGCTCCCTTATTGCTGTTCAAAAAAACCCCAGAAAATCTCTTGAACATCAATAATTTTGGAAATGGTTTAAGTATTACGCAGTCTTCTGCTTTTAGGTCATGAAAAAAAACCACTCTCGGAGACTCTATACAGCAATACAGCCTGCATCAGGAAACATTCACACTGCTCAGAGATTTCCCTGAACTTGATTCTCTCTTGAATTGCTTCATCCACAGACCACAGAAAGAAACAGAAAAAAAAAACCCCAAAATCACAAACACACACCCCAAAAACCAAAACAAAAACACCCTCAAAACAGCCTGGTCTAAGCCACATACTGGGTTTTTTTTCCTGTCCACAAACAGCTTAATGAAAAAACCCAAACAAATCACCACAAAAGCATTGGAACCTCAGAGATTCCCAAGTCTTTGAAGCAGGATGCTACAGCATCTCCTTCCTATTTTACTCCTGTCTCACAAAAAATCATCAATGTCAAGCAATTACAGAGAAATTATGCTTGTCTGCTAAGACAACACAAAAATAGTGTGCTTCAGAGAAGGCCCTGACGTTCCTTGATTTGATGGCAGAGTAGAACATCCACGGGCTTCCCTCAATCACTATCTTGGCCTAAAAAGGCTTCTTTATAGTCAAAGAATGAGGCTATGAAACTTACTTGGTCTATGGTTGGCATACCAAGCCTCAAAGCAGTGGTCAAAGAGATGCCCAGTAAAAACAGTACATTCAGTTTGTTTGAACAGCGCTGGATTCATTTACAAGCAGCTCAATTTTGACATTGGGCTGTCTTTACCTTCTGTTACAGTTCAAGGAAACCTCTGCTTTTTTTATCCTGAGCAGCAAGTTAGGCAAAAGTGAACACAAAGCTCCTTGCTAGCTTAGTCTCATTGTTTAAGAGAGCTCTTTGCTAAATTAGCGTCATTACGGGAGAGAGGATCGCAAATGCAAGAAGTACGTTTCACTGAACTTAATGGGTAAAGTTTTCCACCCCAAGGGACACCTGCAGAGGACCCCT